CCAATTTTACTTAAGTAAAGACCGCTTGTGTTCATATGTGCACAAATTTTTTGTTGCAGATCATAAGATCGACGAATTTCCAACACTGGGTGTCAGTGACATTCCGATTGAAACTTTCGAGTTATGATCCTAACTGGACTACTATTTTTCACAAAGGCATGCTTATTGGTTAAAATTGGTTTTTTTAGAATCTTGTCTAACTGGTGCTTTCTCGGTTTCAACATTTAGGTAATAGTGATACAGTCTGCACACCTGTGATTTGGATGTGTGGAGAGAAACTGGATGCTTACTTTTCAGGCAACTGGAGTGGTTATGTAGCAATTGACTGCTCAACTACTCCCCCACTTTCATTAAACAAATGGTACCATATAGCTTATACAATTTCTGATTCTGAAAAAAGATTAGATCTTTACATAGACGGTGAATTGGCCAGGTGCTATAGTCTTTATGATGTTAAAACGGAAAATATTCTGTTCAATGATGGACCACTATATATTGGAAAAGCTCACTCCTATGATGCGGTTAATGGAGCAATCAGGTGTGATTTGTCATACTAATGAAGTTGATCCAAATCACAAAAATATTAAATTATCATTCTATCAAATAGTAATTTTCGTTATCATAACTGGCGCTTATCTGTTAAAGAAGTGAAGAAAGATTTTAATGGCGATAATAAAATTGAAGAATTACTTGAAAATAACCAACAATGGTCAAGTGAAATAAGTACAATAAAGAATTTTTTGATAAACTTAAAAAACAAGAACCAAAAGTTCTTTGGATCGGTAAAGCTTAAATTGATTTTTATTATTATAGTTATAAAAATAGTATCTGGTGGAGATAATTTATTTGTTCATTCATTCATTCATTCATTATAGGATGTTCTGATTCTAGCGTTCCGCCTGAACTCATCACTAAATCAGGATTTGGCGAATTATTTGTGCATCGTAACATAGCAAATCAATTCAACCCCAATGATGCCAATTGCTTGTCAGTGTTAGAATATGCTGTCAATCATTTGAAGGTTTCTCATATTGTTATCTGTGGTAAATAATAATAACAAGTTTTGATTTAAAACATTCAATTCTTTTTAATGAAAATGATAATATCTTTTTATCCCTCTTTAGGTCATACAGGTTGTGGTGGAGCAAAAGCTGTTTTGAACCAAGCCTTGAACCTAATCTAGAAAAATGGTTGGAAGGAATACGTGAATTGAAAGCAATAAACTCTGATTTCTCTCACACCAATCCATATTTTGATACTTCTGCAGCTCAAGACAAATTGGTCAAAGCTAATGTTGTGAAGCAAGTGGAAAAAATTAGTGAAAATTATCTTGTTAAATCTGCTAAACAAAAAATACAAATTCATGGATTTGTTTTTGATTTAAAAGATGGTTCATTATTAAAGGTTACATAAACATTGACTCAAAATAAATATAGCAAAACACACACAAACAAATAATAATAATTGATTTTTGTTAATAAAGTTCACCAAATCATAACAATCATAAATCATTTTACAATGAGAACATTGCCAAATCCTATCAAATACAAAATGGCTGTAACAATAATAACTGACTATTGTTAACACTCGGTAGTTAACCAACATTAATTCCAACTTTTGCTTACTAATTAAAGCAAATAAAACATAACTTTTACTAAACGCTTCGCTTTAAACGAAAAATAAACTAAAATAAAAAAAGTGGTAAAGGTTTAGGATTTATTTAAAAAGATAATTTGAATGTTAATGTTTTTAAACGAGGTCCCGAAATTGTTCCATCATTTGTTGTTTATAATACAGTACAGGTTGATGATGAGATAAATAAATAAGATAATAGTAAACATCATCCTAAATTTATAAATTATAAATTTTATTTTCATAACGCCATTTCTGGTGAATTTTACCACCATAAGCATATTGTGGTAATATATATATAGTGCCCCCAAAAACCTCTGGTCAACTATCATAATTCATTTTATTTTTGACTATTAGTGTTCGTTTCCAAATTATAGAAACTGGTTCAACTTTTGACTTTTGTTTTAGTTTTGACGTGTAACTTTTAATCTGCCTCTCCAAAATAGTTTTAAAAATAGGTTTGACAATTAATACTGTTGAGAAGGTATGAAGAAGCGTGGGCAGGTTTAAAAAAACAAATTTTATCTAAATTTTCAAAGTTGCCACCACCAACAGCAAGATTTACAAAACTGATCGGTCCCTTCTCTAAACTACCCACCATATTAGTATTTTGCCGTTGTGCTGGATATATCGTATCTGTTTACTTTAAAGAAAAATTTATTATCTGTTGAATCAAGTGAATTTATTGGTTTTTTCCAGAAAAGAGAAAAATCACTTATATAGAATTGTATGAATTTGTGTATATTTTTTAAGAGTATGAGGCCTTTCAATAGAAACGGACCATGTTGTGAAAAAAGCAACTTTGAGTTAATATCGCTGCTATATGTAACTCCTCATGTAGAACATTTTGGCTTGGAAACTATATCCGTTTTACTTGATAAAATTTTGGGATACCTTTCTAAAGTTTTAAAAACAATATTAAATTGCTTGAAATGCAGACCTTTTTTTTAATTCTCAAAATAACATGGTCCGTTTCTATTGAAAAGCCCCATAAGTGTACCTATTATTTATATAAGTTGTAATACACTTTATTATCTATCTAGTTTTAAATTATCTCATATAAATTGGTGATCAGATTGCTGAAAAACTAGCGATATTATATACCTCATAAAATTCTGGCATTTCCAATGATTATTACATGATTTCCAAACTGAATTTTGACTTTATTTATATAAATGACCTAAAACTGTTGAGGTCGATCGCAATGGTTTTTTTATTAAATGATTTTAAATGACTTTTTTTTATTTAACCTATTAGCAGACTTGATTATTTATACAAGGTTAAAAATATTTATTATAATTTTATAATTATTAGGATTAGGATCAGGATTAGTGGTAGCATAATAAATAAATAATGGTAAATAAGTTGAAATTCTATAATTATTGATGTATATATTGTCTATATATAATATATATTATTACATTTCTTGTTTAAATGTTCTCGTGAATTTTCCCAATCTCATTTTGTATTTGATCTATAAAAAAATAGAAATTAAAACATTATTAATTTTAACAATAATTAAGAAAAATCCCAAGTTTTTTTTAGTTACCTGCAAGATGATAATCTTCATGACCCACGGCCTCTTGTAATCTTTTTTCCAACTCTTCAAGACGAACTTTATCATCATCATTAACAACTTTATTATTCACTAAATTGATTGATAAATTAATAAAATCATTTTAAAAATCGTAAATCATCATTTTTAAAATTAAAATGTTTTTTTGTACAAACATGAATTTTCCAAATTATTTTGATTTTGATGATTGTTCATTAATTTATTTTCTTTCGATAAATCTCCTTTATCCTCCACGCCACCTTGTTTATCACTCAACAATACACCACCACCACACCTTAATTTAATATTTTCAATACGATATTCTATTCCTTTGATTTCATGTTTTAATAGTTCTTGTAATATTGTCAAATTTTTTTCTACTGATCTGAATATAATAAATAATTTATAAGAATTTTTGTCTTTATATTAGAAAATTGAAAATAATATGTGAAGTGTGTGATTATTTATATATTAGAGAAATACATACAAATCATATTTTGATCGAAGTTGTAGCAATATTTCTTGTAATTCCTCACGTAACTCAGATCCTATGATTTTCAAAGAACAAAAATTGTCAGTAGTTAAAAATCAAAATCATAAACATCAATATCATAATAATCATAATCACAATTATCTTCATTAATTAATTAATAAAACTGAAAATTTTACCAATTTTTTCCTCGATTTCAACCAACTCTAAATTGTAATGTTCCAAATTTTCTCTTGCTTTTCTCAAATTTTCTTGATCAATTCCTAAACTTGAACGTTTTAATTCTAAATATTTTTGACGTTCATCTTTAGTTGCCAGTAAGTCCTTAATTCGACTTGATAATCTTCCAGCAGACTTAAAATCCCTTCCTTAATATTAAAGTTATTAATAGATCAATTAATAAATTAATTAATTCGTTTGTTTGTTTTATTAAAAAAAATTTTTTTACCAGAAACTGCTAATTTTTTTTGTTCTTCTAAAGATGGTATTTGAGTGTTGATTGCTGTAATATCTTGTTGAATTGTTGAATATGTTTGTTGGTCTTGTATAACTTTAGATGTTAAACGTTTAACTTCGCTATCGATTTCTTCTAACTTCTTCCTAACACTTTACATTAATAATTAACGATATGTTATTATTATCATCATTATTGACAATAATGCATATCTACGTACTTTGATATTTCTTTTTCACAATCAAAATCTCTTTGAGCTCTATCTTTTAACATTTCAACAAATTTCTCAATCAACTTTTTCTTCAATGCTAAGTTCACCACCGCCAACACCACCAACACCAAATCAATTATCGCATCCATCACCAAGATCATTTAAAGAACAAATAGAAATGGAATTATCAAATTTATACAAAGAACTAAATCAATTATCAACAACTCAATCACAATTATATGATAATAGGAATGAAATTTATAGAAATTTAATAGAGGTAAATAAAAATCTAGATAGTAATAATAGAAAAAGTTTATATATTCACAAGTTTACAATTATTTATTCGTTTACTTACCCTCTTCCGATTTTTTCATGAATTGTTAGAATTGGCAAAAAATGAAATCATTAGAGACAGACCAAGCAAACTCTTTAACAAAAGAGGATTATGCAATTGCTGATCGACTAACACAAAAAATAAAAGAACTACAATCATTCATGATGCAGAAAAAGAATTTATTGTCCAATGTTGATAAAACATTGAATCAATTATTTGGAAAACAAATTAATTTATTAAGAAAAATTAATGAGTTGAATGGAAGATTAGAGAAGGAACTTTCAACACAAAAAGTAATAATATATATTACAATAATAATTG